TATTTGTTTTTAATCTTCTATTATGGAAATGTACATCCAGTTTTTTCCCCTTTAATTTTTTGGGGGGCCCCAAGAGAGTGGGGCCCTAAGCTAGAGCTTGTTTAGCTTATACGTAAATCCGGCACTGCTCCTAATATTAAACTCCCTGGGCACCTGGGCACCTTAGGAAGCAGAAGAACTCAAGGCCCCTGGCCCTCCTTCTTACAGGCTGTCAGTTTATTGTTATATTTTCCTCCCGACCAGCTCTGATCACGCTTTTCTTTGCTGCATTTTTTTGTGATTTTAAATCTCTCCTGGGGTTCTCTCTCCAAAGAGTAGATAGATAAAAAAACTTTATTCGCATTAGCCAATGGCCATAGCAACAATAAAACATTACAGTATACGCAGAAAGGGAAATTTGATATAAGAGCACAATTTAAAGTCCCGAATCAGCAGTCAGTTAGTGGCCCTTATTCTGATTACCCCTGCTATGAACCTAGCAACCTTTGCTGTTATCTGCTCATTTTGATCTGATAGAAGAAAGGACATTGTGGCAGTGGTTGAGCGCCCCGGGATGGTCAGTACGAGTGGGGTGATAATCTCATTCCCCAGGTCCATAGCTGTCAAGCGTCCCTTATTTGGCGGGACAGTCCCTTATCCCAGGGCCATGTCCCACTGCTGTCCCTTATTGATGATGTCCCTTAAATAAGCTACTGAAGGTAATGGGGCCCTTTCTATGTCCAGCTGTGCTTTGTCAACAACAAATTGTTGCTGTTTTTTTGTGCTGGATATATGCTACATGGTAATTCATGGACCTAATAGGTATCTAAAGCCATTTGCACGCAGCAAAATATGTATTTTATCAAAGTAATTGTTGATCCCTTATTTTGGCTGCTGATCCCTTATTTTTGAGTCTGCTGGTCCCTTATTTTCAAATCTGTAAGTTGTCAGCTATGCTCAGGTCTTTGTAGAGAGTGCAAGACAGGAGGACGTTTCGATGCTACCATCTCCACAGGGGCAGATGTTTCTCAGGCTGAATCTTTTGGAATCTCCAAAGAGTTCTTTCCCCAAACCCGGATCTTGGCATCCAGGGAAATTCTGCATATATTGCACCAACATTCCCGGCCTGCCTCCTGAAATTGTTTCGTCCCTGCAGGACTGCGAGATGCATTTTCAAGTGATTTGACCGTGGCTGGAAATCTGTACATGCAAAAGCAATGGAGAAGGAAGTTGCTACAGAAAAGCAAAATGTCTTCCACCACCCAAAGTGGTTTGCTGCAGTCGTACGTACCTGTGCTTCCAGACTATATTGGCTTCTTAAACATTAGTGAAATATTAAGAAGAAAGATACATAAGAATCAAAGAAATCTCAACACAGATTTTTATGACTCTTGTGCTGTTTCTGTGATAAAAGGTTGTTTGCACTGAATCATGGAAACCACAAAGAGTTCTGACATGCGCCCAGAAACGTCTCAAGACCTTTGTTCTAATTTCATATATTCTTCGAAACAAGGGCTCAGTCCCTGCTAAGGAGAAAAAAACGCCACACTGTCAGTTTACTTGTTTTATTTTCCTCACAATCGGCTTTGATCACATTCTGATTTTACTTTCCATTAGGAAATATTCCTCTTCATTACTTAATTCAGCTCTCCTTAATCATCAGTAGCTAAAATGGCACTGTTAAATAAGAGGCATTAATAAATACAAATTTATGAATCATCCATGACATTACATTGCTATTTTTTTAATGGCAACCATGACTTTTTCTATGGCTTCATACCAAATCGATAGAACCCGTAACTTCAAATCGAAGCAACGCTTGATCATGTTAATGAATAATTTCTAATTATAGCTTCATTTCTCCAATATTCCCCCCCACTGCCACCACCATATGAACACTGTTCCAACATTACAGAAGCTATTGTTACAGTGAGAATCCTAAGTATAAAACATATTCTGGAAGTACATGTGTTTTGGGGGTTCAAAGAAGCCTGGGTTGCTTACCCTGTAAAGTCTCAATTTCAGGTGTTTTACTAAAGTGACTTATACCATATGAAGCTGCCTTATGCTGTGATGGGGGACAAATTCACTTGGCTGACATTTTATTGCACATCTGCCTAATTCACACTTGCTGAACCAGTATGTCAAGTGAAGCACAGTATTCCTTCAAAATGTGATCCCTCCCCCCCGAATTTGGTGGTGCGGTTCTCCAATCAAAAATTGCATTCCAAACAATCATATGTTAGAGGAAACTGCAATAAAAATGGGGGGAGACCCAGTACAGCATTCAGAAACTGGAAGGGAAATATTTTAGCAACTCTGTTACTGATTTAAAGGGCCATTCGTGAACAAATGGTGTGAAATTGCTATATTGAAACTTGTCAAAGAGGTTCAATTCTATCACTGGTGGCCTATATAGGAATAACAGTGTGTTTTGTTTAATCAAGACTGCTTTGCAAAGGGTTGATACAATTTTCACAGTCTGTATGTTATTTTATTTTATTGCATTTTGTTTGCTTCTCACATTCGCTCCCCAACTTAGGATAACACTTCGTTCATCTGATGAAGTGGATTCTAGTCCATTGACGTTTATTCCTTAGTTAATTTGCTACAGGTTTTAAGGCATGGGTAGGCAAACTAAGGCCCAGGGGCCGGATCCAGCCCAATCACCTTCTAAATCCGGCCCACGGACTGTCTGGGAATCAGCGTGTTTTTACATGAGTAAAATGTGTCCTTTTATTTAAAATGCATCTCTGGGTTATTTGTGGGGCATAGGAATTCGTTCACCCCCCCCAAAAAAAAATAGTCCGGCCCCCCACAAGATCTGAGGAACAGTGGACTGGCCCCCTGCTGAAAAAAAGTTTGCTGATCCCTGCTTTAAGGTATTCAAAGTTTCACAAAGACTCACTGATGTTTTTGCGGCGGCTGCTCTTGTTTATTATTAATATCATGCCTGCCGTGCAGGATGCAGCGACTAGGAAAGGAAATATTACTGACAACACTCTGAGAAATCGGAAAATCTGATTTGTATAGAGATCATGACGAATGTCCACAAAACCAAGTAAAATAATAATAATGTGAAATATTCTTCTTTTATTTGATGTGAGAGGAAGATAAATTTAAAACCATGCATCTGAGCTCCATTTACTTCGGCAGATCCTTCCAGTGGGTGTTTTAACTTGTCTGTGCGCAAGTTTGCATTCTTGAGAGTTTGTTACTATTTCTCCTGGGCCAAATTGCATGTGATGGCAGGCGACTGATGGCTTTAAACGGGACGGCCTCAATTATGTATTTAAAGCAGGAGTACAGTATGTGATTAAAGCTGCAGTTTCCCCCACTTACCTAGGAGTAACAATGTCACTCAAGACATGTCTACTTTCACTATAGCTCAGTCGGTAGAGAATGAGACTCTCCATTTCAGGGTTGTGGGTTCAGGGCCGGATTTAGGCTGGATGCGGCCCTCAGCTACTGAAGCATAACTGTCAACTTTTCCCTTTTCTTGCGAGGAATCCTATTCGGAATAAGGGAATTTCCCTTAAAAGGGGGGAAACGTTGACAGCTATGTGAAGGTAATGGGGCCCTTTCTATGTCCAGCTGTCCTTTGTCAACAACAAACTGTTGCTGGTTTTTTTGTGTTGAATATATGCTACATGGTAATTTATGGACCTCATAGGTATCTCAAGCCATTTGCACATAACAAAATATGTATTTTATCAAAGTAATTGTTGAACTGAAATACAATTAAGAAGTATATTAATAGGGAAATACAGTTAAGAAGTATAGAAGTATAATAGTGAAATAATTGTTAAGCTTGGTTTTGGAACGCTTTGGTTTTAGAACAGACTTCTGGAACGGATTACTGGTAAGTTTGAGAACTAAGGTACCACTGTATATAGAAAGGAGCAAACCAGTGATATTTGAGGGAGCAGGCGAGCAGGCGTGGCCCCTTCCTTACATCATAGCTAAATAAGCATAGCTAAATCTGGCACTGCTTGTGTTCAAGCCCCACACTGGGCCAAAAAGATCCCTGTGGTCCCTTCCAACTGTATGATGCTATGATTCTACTTATTTCATAAGGCTCATTGAGTCGATAGGACTTTCCCATAACATTTTATTAATTTTCCAACATTAACAAAAATCCGGCACTGGTTCCATGGTAAAGCCAAAGCAAATTTCACATTTGTCCCTTTGTCCGCAGTACTTAGAAACCTCAATTTTCTTTTTTCCCCCTTTAAAAATTTTTTTTTTATTCAAAATTAAAACAAGACATATTATCCAAAAAAAATATCCTTGTCCCCCCCCCATTTTTCCTCCCCCCCCCTACAAAACCCACCCACCCCCACCCCCCGACTTCCCTCAGTTCCAGTCTTTGGTTTCTCTGAGACTGCTGTTTTCTGCATGTTACCAAGTTGTATAGATCCTCAAAATATTTAGCTGATTATTACCAATAAAAAGTATGTGAATGTTTATTCAAAACCTGCCAAGGAGTCCAGTTCACTTTGTTGCGTCTTCAGATACTTTGTAAAGGATTCCCATTCATCCTTAAAGTCACAGTTATCCTTTGTCCCGTAGCTTATATGTCAGTTTTGCCAGTTCTGCATAGTCTGTCAATTTTTCTTGCCATGATTCTTTAGTTGGGGTTTCTTCAGTCTTCCATCCTTGTGCTACCAAAACTCTTGCAGCTGTTGTCGCATACATGAAGATGTTTTTCAGCTTTTTTGGCAGGTCTTTCCCTACAATCCCTAACAAAAATGCCTCGGGTTTTTTAACAAATGTTAAATGGAACATTTTCTTCAATTCATTGTATAGCATTTCCCAAACTTTTTTTATTACATTACAATCCCACCACATATGATAAAATGTCCCTTCCTTTAGAAACCTCGATTTCCAATCCCAACGCCCAACATTTTGTTCAATCGTCTGGAAGAGGATGCTATTAATGTACACCTGTTTTTTCTCGTCCACTGAGGAGTCAAGGTTCCGACACGTGTTATAGAACCCTCGCCTTTTATTATGAGTCAGTCTCTTTGTGGCAGAGGCCATGTGAATTGGTGGACACCTTCAGGTTTGAGCCTGCTCCCCAGCCCAGCCTTTATATATGTTGGCAGAGCTTGCTAGCCCGCAAGGCAGCCTCATCATCCCCTTTTGGCAAGGGGACCAAGGCTAATGACTAGCAAATGGGAACGGTGAGTAATCCATCAAGGAGCCAACACGTCCAGCCCATAGGATCATTTATTTCCACAATGAAAATTCAGCATCCGCTTTGGTGACTTATGGTCTTGAACTCGCAAGTGGGTCAAGGTGGGAGATTCTCTTGAGAGTTCCCGGAAATAATAAAAAAGTCAACGTGAATTTGAATATTTTTTATGTTCTTTGGAAAGTAACACATATAAAATAACAAAGTAACCTGCAAACAAACATTTGTGGGGGAAATGTCCGATTTCAGTGTTTAAAAATTGTCTGTTTGGTTGTTCATGATTGTAGGGTTTAAGAATGTGGAATTTCCCTAGCTTTTTTGTGTGTTGTTTTCATTTGTGATGTTTTTTAGTTATATTGCAAACTGCTTAGAGATTTCCCCCTGAAATACACGGAGTATATAAGCTGTCCAAAAATTAAAAGAAACTCCCTAGTCCTTTCTCTAATACAGGAAGGCCGTGTGTGCTTATTCTTTGAAGATACCATCTGAACAAAAAGAATAAATATGGCAATATGTAAATGTACACAGAAAAAGCAGTGACCAAGTCAAAATGGGAGCAGATGGAAGCAGATTGACAGCCAAAAGGCTCTCAAAGGGGCTTTGAAAACATTCTTGCATTCAAATCTGGCATCAGAAACAGAAATAAGATGCTTTTCCTATCATGCTAGAATTATCTTGACGGCATTTCTTGCCTGGGACCCGGTCACCCCTGGCGTTACCCTTCAGCCTCTCCCTTCTAGGCAGCAGAGCCTCTTGGGATCCATTAATCAATTAATGAATTAATTAATATACTGCCCTTCATCCGTAGCTCTCAGAGCGGTTTTCTCTGATTCCAGAGAGTGGGGTGGATTGTGTTCATTCCAGGCACGAGCCCACTGGAAAGAATGGGAGTTGCACAAAGGCAAAGCAATACACATTTCAGCGGGTGGATTGGGCCCAAAGGAAATTACTCTAGAGTCAAGTGACATTCCAGTTACTTGTGTAATTACCCAGTTATCTCCTCTATCTTCCCTAGTGTTGGTAAAACAATTTCTGAACCAAGCAATCCCTACATGACAACGTCTGTTTTTGCGGGAAATCTCCGTGAGTTAATTATCGTTGCAAAACAGATCACCAGCATTGATTGTGTGGGAATGTTTTCTTACTAGGAAACCCAGATTACTCCAACAAACCACGGAACGAGGAGATAAAAATGAAAATGAACAGCCATCCTTGTGCAGTTGTGATTTTTACGATGGTCTGTTAATGCAAAATCCTGTTTGCATTATCCCAGCACGGCAGTTGATCAGTAACTGTTGCTTGAGTCATCTTTTAATTCTACCAAATATGACATTGTACTGAAGATAAAGGAAACTATTTTTTAACTATTCCTTTTTAATGTGTACTTTTTTTGTATTGCTATGGATATTTATGTTTATCCATACAGGATAATCTCAATGGATTGCATCTTCAAAGGAATTACAATTGGGCCTCTGAATGTGACTAACATGACTGGGGGAATAGCTGCAATCATGTTGGCCACATTCAGGGGTGCCTCAGCTTAATTGACTCATAACACAGAAGGGCTATAACTCAGGGTCAGAGCTTCTACCAGAGCCAGTGTGGTGTAGTGGTTAAGAGCGATAGACTCGTAATCTGGTGAACCGGGTTCGCTTCCCCGCTCCTCCACATGCAGCTGCTGGATGACCTTGGGCTAGTTACACTTTGAAGTCTCTCAGCCCCACTCACCTCACAGAGTGTTTGTTGTGGGGGAGGAAGGGAAAGGAGAATGTTAGCCACTTTGAGACTCCTTTGGGTAGTGATAAAGCGGGATATCAAATCCAAACTCTTCTTCTACCTTACATGCAGGTCTCAGGTTCGATCCTTTCCATCACCAGGAAGGACTGGGAAGGACTCCCTCCCTGAATCCTTGGAGATCCACTTCCAGAGGATCTGAACTATATAAATACATGATCTGACTCAGTAAGAGGCAGCTTCATGGGTTCATATAGCAGCTCTTCCCTTCCCCAGGATCACAATTTCATCCACTATGCTCACAAGGCAACTTGAGCCCTGCTAATGATTCATACCAAGTTATTTCAAATTCACCAAGAAGATAATCTCTCCCTCCTTCTCTGAGGACATACCATATATTTGCTCTATAAGACTCACTTTTTCCCTCCTAAAAAGTAAGGGGAAATGTGTGTGCATCTTATGGAGCGAATGCAGGCTGCGCAGCTATCCCAGAAGCCAGAACAGCAAGAGGGATTGCTGCTTTCACTGCGCAGCGATCCCTCTTGCTGTTCTGGCTTCTGAGATTCAGAATATTTTTTTTCTTGTTTTCCTCCTCCAAAAACTAGGTGCGTCTTGTGGTCTGGTGCGTCTTATAGAGCGAAAAATACGGTATGTCTTTCCAAAGCAGAGAACAGTTCCCTTCTGAATGAATTCCAACAGCCTTTAGTTTCCCTCAAAGAGAAAATGCAAATTATCTTCAATATGTCAGCCTCAGACTTATACATGGCATACAAACCACAGGGGCAGTGATTTGGAGAGATCAGAGGCAGTCTTCTTCCCATTTATGTGAATTTTTAAACCAGGAACATCTACCTCTGTGGCTTACCCTGCACTTCCACACACTAAGAAGTTCTCACCATAAACAACTTGCAGCTTCATGGCCAGCGCTGCTTGGGAAATCTAAGAAACCCAAAGAATTTGTGGTTCAAATCAGTACGGCATAGTTTTGAAAGGTTCAGCCTGCCGTGTTGATTCAAAATGGCATCCAATTGCATCCAAGTAGATTTCAGGAACTGTCATGCAAAACTGGATTCTGCTTTCTTAACAGGTATCCAAATATATAGCAAACAACTTCCCCAAATATATAGGAGAGAAAGTGCCTGGCAAAATTGCTGAGATTTGCAAATTGACAATGCAATGTGTTTGTTTCAAGCACTCTGCATGCCTCTCTCCTTCTGGCAACTCCTGCAGCCAAGGTGTTGCCAAATGTACTGCTCTGCTCTCCTTGGGGCCACATCGGTAAGGCCAAGAGAGGGTCTTATCATCTGGGCAGGTCAGGATCTCCATACACACTGCACAGGCTTGTGCCCTGGGGAGGTCGGTTTGGTGCTGCTAAAACAGGGGAAGAAACCAATGTGGGGTGCAGAAGTTCTAAATTACTGGCCTTTGCACTGCAATTCTCCAGTGGTTTGACTTCACCCATGGAGGTGCACTCCATTGTCTCTCAAAACAGATGGAAACCAACAGCTTGCCTCCCTCTGACTTGGGTTACACTATGGTTACCAGATTTTTTTCAATGAATCTGGGGACACTTTTTTTTTGTTTTGAAGCTGAGTAGCAACAGGGAGTCAGTAGTGGGGATGTAGAGGCAAAAGAACCTGGGCTCAAGCACACATGCATATCCCAAGCCTTCCCCGATGATCTACCCCCACCCCACTTTGTTTTGACAGATCAGGGGAAGCTCAGGAGTTGCTGGTGGGTGGGTGTTGCCCAGGAGGGGTGCAAGGCGCATGGTTTCTCTGCCAGCAAGGTGCAAAGTCCTTCTTTCGCACCCTGTGAAACATGAATGCGCAGAGGGGTTTTTTTAAAAAAAACTGGGCAATGGCTAGCCGGTCGTGACTCCCGAGCCTCCCCTGATCAGTCAAAACAAAGGGGGAAGGGGGCAGGAGATCTGTACTGCCGGACGTCCCCGGTTCCCCTTCGGCAGTGATGCCAGCAGCAGCAGTCAGCAGCCTGGAGTCAGCCTGGTAGTGCAGTTGGCTCTGGCTGGCTGCTGGCTTCTTGCTGCCATGGTGCCTGCCATTTTTCTCGCTGGAAGTCCCCATAAGATGTGTTGCACACAAGACACATCATATAGGGACTTTTGGCAAGGAAAAATGGTGGGCGCCATGGCAGCAAGCAGCTCCTGAAGCCAGCCAGAGCCAACAGCTGGCTCCAGGCTGCTGAGACTGCCACTGCCACATTTCCCGGGGACAGATTTGCAAATCTGGGGACATTCCAGGGACGAATTTTGTCCAGGGACAGATGTGCAAATCCGGGGACTGTCCCCGGGAACTGGGGACATCTGGTAACCCTAGGTTACACCCAAGCAGTACCTAGACCCAAATCGATTTGTGGGTGGGGCTCATGTTTAACCAGGACTTCAAAAACCTATGGTTGGGAGGGATGGCAAAAGAAGAAGCTGAATCTCTCCCCCACCCCCATCATGCATCACCATGTTGGCCATAACTGACAGTGAGAGACCAACTGATCCCTGGCTGGGGATACTGGAGTGTGGGCTGGTTCTTCTGGCCTCCTCTCCTCCCACCCCAGTCCCAGGGTTAGGCCTTGTCTTTCCACCTTAGGCCGCCCCTTTTTCAACCCTGCTGGGATGTGCAACCCCAGTGCGTTCTCTGCTGGGAACATGCTGGTGAAGCAGACCCTGCAGTGGGCAGGATTTCACTCTCTCCTCACCAGCTGGTATTATTTCATGCCATAAGACCTATGGGATAAGACCGGTAGCACACAAGCGCTCCTACATCTTTCCCCATTCCGAAAATACGGATAGCACATCAGGAGGCAGTTTCACATAGGGAAAATGACACAGTTTAAGGCTCCTCAAAATGACTGCTCGTTTCTTTTAACGTTTTTTTAAAAAATAAAAATAATCACACAGGAGATCTGTTCCCTGGTATTGTGTGAGTCTCCTAATTTGGCCCTTAAGGTAAAGGGTAAAGGGACCCCTGACCATTAGGTCCAGCTGGGGCTGAATCTGGGGTTGCGGCGCTCATCTCGCTCTATAGGCCGAGGGAGCCGGCATACAGCTTCCGGGTCATGTGGCCAGCATGACTAAGCTGCTTCTGGTGAACCAGAGCAGCGCACAGAAACACCGTTTACCTTCTCGCCAGAGTGGTACCTATTTATCTACTTGCACTTTGACATGCTTTTGAACTGCTAGGTTGGCAGGAGCAGGGACCGAGCAACGGGAGCTCACCCCGTCGCGGGGATTCGAACCGCCGACCTTCTGATCAGCAAGTCCTAGGCTCTGTGATTTAACCCACAGCGCCACCCGCGTCCCTAATTTGGCCCTTAATCTTGAATAAATTCAAGAGCAGACTTTCAGACCTTGCTCTGAAACGTGTGTCCCCACCCTGCCTATCAATTCATTGCTTCCCTTTCTAAAACCGTTCAAGCATCGACTGTAGCCTGGGGATTTGATTTACACCTAGTCTGTGGGCAAACTACTTTTTCCTTCCATCTTCAGGAGTTCAACGTCAGTAGGAATACTCAGGTGCCAGTTAATTCAGACTCCCTGATCATTCATTCGCTTTCCAACTTGCCAAAGTCTCTGGTTCTTTACTCTGCTGCCAAGCGCCTGAGTCATAGAGTTCTCCCCCCTCCCCCACTCCGCTGCTTCAAAGTTTGCATATTCCCCCAGCTCCACCCCATGCTAACAAGGTGGAAAAATGAATGATTATTGTGTAGAGACCTCTCGGTATTGTATTCAGATGAGTAACATGCAAGAGACCCAGAGAGAGTTGAGGCAAGTCTGTACGCCTTCCTTCTCCGACATGAAGTTAATTTGGCAGGGTTTTTCTTCCAAAGTATCTTGCAATCAGTGATGTTGAAGGGGGGGGGGAAGGGAGAGAGAGAAAGAGACAGAGAGAATGTTTTAATGTAATAAATATTTTGACACTTCACCCAGTGGCGTCCTGTAGCCACTTTCAGCATTCTTATCGATGCACAGCTGTTGCATTTTTGCAGGGCTTGCATAAATTTCATAGGCCCAAGGAAAGGAGCAGTTGCAAAATAAACACAGACACGCACCGTCTCATTAGTAGCTCCTTATGAAAGATTTCACCTTGGGTTAAATGACTAATGCCCTATTAAACCTTTACAGCCACAACAAATGTTGGGCTGCAATCAGTCAAGGAGAGCTTGAGACTCCTAATCTTGGGTTCGAGCCCACATTGGGCAAAAGATTCCTGCATTGCATGAGTTCCAACCCTACAATTCTATGATTCTATAATTAAAGAAGAGAAAACACCTTTTCCAATGAACCATCAGCATGTGGCTTATTCTGAGAATAAGATGACCAATGGCCAATGTGGTAGGAAACCGTATGGGTTTTTCAGCATCCCATCTTCATATAACCATCTGACAAAGTAAATATCCCGTCAGCCCCTTTCAGGTGTTCACTGTGAATGCACAGAGTGGGAGTGATGTTGCAGTGGCACATGCGCCCGCCATCTAGGTGTGCTCATAGGGCCATGGGTCCACCTAGCTCAGCACTGTTTGCATTAGGGATGGAAACACCTGGCCCACAGGTCACATGTTCGCCACCACTCAGTTTCATTTGCCCTGTGGCC